GAGATCTCTTTTTGGAGTTTAAAATGACAAATTCAGTTTCCTGTTACAGGGCCGTTTCATACGTGGCTTGGAATTCTCTCTTTCATGCGACGTGAATTGTGCGAGTTGTTTTTCAGAAATTGGTTTACTTGACCTGAGTCACAAATGTATGTTTGTAGTATCCCCTTACTGCCCGTCTCGGGAATGCAGGGCCTGGCCTGACACTGCTTTCTTCATTTCAAGACAGTCTTGTGCCGCTGCCCAGGCTGGAGGGCAGTGATGCGATCTTGGCTCAGGCGATTCTTGTGCCTCAGCGTACCAAGTAGCTGGGGCTGCCTGGCCAACTTCTTGTATTTTTAGTAGAGACAGGGTTTCACCATGTTGGCCAGGCTGGTGTTGAACTCCTGAGCTCGTGACCCACCCGCCTCAGTCTCCCAAAGTGCTGGGAGACAGGTGTGAGCCACCGCCCCTGGCCTCTTCTTTCATTTCCGATGTTGGCAACTGTACCTTCTCCTTTTGTCATTCTTACTAGAGGTTTGCTGATTTTATTGGTTTCTTAAAGAACCATCTCTCTGTTTCAGTAAGTGTCGCTGTTTTCGATTTCATTTTCCGCTTGTTACTGTTTTCTTACTGCTCCTTGCTGTGTGTCTTTTCCTGCTCACACACTCTTGAGCTGAGATGATTTTTCTTTCTTTTTAAGAGATGAGGTCTTCCTGTGTTGCCTCATGGCAGGAGGCTGGCTTCACACTCCTGGGTTCAAGCAATCCTCCCGCCCCAGCCTCCTGAGTCGCTGGGACTACGGGTGTGTGACATCTTCCGTCTTTGCTAACCTCTCATGTCTCTTTTCTAACGTATGCATCTGGTGCTTTCCCTCTCATCACTGGTTAAGTACGTTCCACATGCACTTAACACGTGCCCACGTAACATGCCACTGAGTTCCGTTCCATGGGTGGCATATTCTGTGACTCCCATTAGGCCCCGTTTGTTGATGATGGTGTTCTAAGTCTGCATCTCGTGATCTGTCAACGGTTGGGAGAAGGTGTTGGAGCGTCCGACTGTTATTGCTGATCTGTCTGTTTCTCCTCCTCCACGTTTTGCCGACCGCGCTTCGTGTGCACACACTTCGCGGTGCTGCGTCTGCTTGGTGGGGTGACCCTGTTCTCACTGTCCCTCTGTGTCTCTGAGAATGTCTGCACCGGGCGCTACCTGGACGCTGGTACAATCACTCCTTTATTTTCATTACCAATCACTAAGTTGAGTGTTTGTCCTACTTTGCGCCTGCCTGTGCAGACGGTCCCTAATGCTGGTGGCTCAACTGACGGTTTTCCACTTGACGGTGTAGAAACTGTACTTGGGGTAGCTGTGCAGCCACTCGGCTTCCACTTTTAATACAGCATCCAGTGAATCACGCTGTATCATAAAGCAGGCCATGTGTCAGATGACTGTGCCCGCTGGTGTCCTGGGCATGTCTGGGGTAGGAGGGGAGGCTGAGCTCAGACTTGTACCAAACACAGTTTTGATTTATGTTTTCAACTTACGGTGGGTTTATCAGGGCCTAAGCTCATGATGCGTATATTTAAGTTACTATCTGCTTTTTTTTTTTTTTTGAGACAGGGTCTTGTTGTATCTCTGGCCGGGCTCAGTGGCTCACAATGGGAGGATGAGGCGGTGGATCTCCTGAGGTCGGGAGTTGAAGACTAGCCTGGCCAACATGAGGAAACTGTCTCTACTAAAAATACAAAAGAAATTAGCCAGGTAGCTCCAGACTGCAGTGCAGTGGCATGATCCTGGCTCACTGTGGCCTCACCTCCTGGGCAGCTGGGATCACGGGCACGCACCACCATGCCTGGCTCATTTCTGTGTTTTTGGTAGAGAGAGGGTTTTGCCATGTTGGCCATTTCGAGCTCCTGACAAGTGATCAGCCTGTCTCAGCTCCCAAAGTGCTGGGGTTACAGGACTGAGCCACTGCCCCTGGCCAATCATCTAACTGTTAGATCCTGTACGTTTAATATCAAGTCCGTCATTTTACTTGTTTCCCCAACCTGCTCTCCTGTGGGTTTGGTAAGTTCTTAGAATTGGGCACTCCAGTGTGGCTCCTACTTCGCTGTCTCCTGGTTCCAGTGTGGCTCCTGCGTGGGCTGTCTCCTGGTGGCCGCTCTTGGTATTAGTTATACACACATGACTGTGCGCAGAGTCTACCGATGCCATTTCAGCAGCTCAGGCTCAGTAGGCACCTTACCTCGGTCTACGTTCATGGACAGTCGCGTCAAACGCTTCCTCTAATCAACCTGGAACTCCTTCGGGCGGTTTTCTGGCCTTTGCTAGAGAACTGTCCTCAACCGTTAAACATGGCTGGGAACTCAAGGCCGCCTGGCTGACTTCTGCATTTTTGCAGAGATGCGGTTTCACCACGCTGGCCAGGCTGGCCGTGTCGTGTTGAGGGTTTACTCAGTTTACCGGCTCTGTAGGTTTGGGACGTTTCCGTTCTTATTTCTTCACATTTTGAGTCCTCAGCTCACTCTCCCTTCTGGGACTTCGCCGACATGGATTCTGGATCTTGTGCTACAGTCTCGTCGGCCTCCAGGTCCCAGAGGCTCTTGTGTTTCCCCAGCCTGCGCCCCTGTGCTGTTCCACCGGGTACCTTCTGTTTAAATGGATTCTGTCCTCTGTCCTCTCCATTCAGATGTTCAAACAGTCTGTTTCTTTGCTGAGGTCTGTCTGTAACTGTTGCTGAGCCCCCTTGTGACGGCTCCGTTACCACCCGTGAAGCATTTTGGGAAGCGGCTCCGGTCCGCTCTCACCTGCTGACTGCCCGAGTCCATCAGTTTCACGTCATCTTGGTTCTTGCTATGACAAGTGATTTTTCCACTGAAAACTCAACATTTTGGGCATGATGAGATTTTGGATCTTATTTAAACCTTCTGACATCATGCTGCAGGAGAAGGGGGCAGGGCACTGCCTCGTTACTGCCAGGTTGGGGTAGAACTCCAGTTGACACACTAGGGTATTCCCCGCCGCTGCTGGGTAGGATGGCGCCTCCATGACACCATGGCAGGGCTTGCCTCGTCACTGCTGGGTGGTAGCGAAGGTTCTGACTTTCTGCTGGTTTTCACTTCATACCACTTGGGAGCGGGAGGAGTCCCTCAGGGGAGTCCAGGCTCCTCCTGTGGTCTCCACCGACACTGCAGAAGTGGGGGTCCTTCCTGCCCGCCCACTGGGATGGAAATCTCAGCTTCCCGTTGGCCTCCTGTGGCAGCACCCCAGCGAGGGGAGTCCAGGCTCCCTACCCCATCCCTCGCCGGGGTGGGTGGCCCGTGGTTTCTCCGTGGTGCGGGCTGGAGTGGTGGTGACTTCCTGTAAGTTTCCCGTCTTGCTAGGCTGCTCTTTCCTGGCCCTTTACCAGAGAGCGCAGATTTCTGCGGAGGTGGTTTTTGTCTGTATCTGCTGCTATTACCGGGTTTACAGCTTTCTCACCTCCAAGTGTGGAAAATGAGGCAGAACGAAAACCCAGGCTGTCACCGCCGTTTGGGGGCTGTGGCTGCGTCCTGAGGGCCCTGCCTTCCCGTTGTTTACAGAGCGTCCAGGGATCAGTGGGAGGAGCAGGGAGAACTGTCTGCTCTGTGTCCCAGCTGTAAAGCCAGTGGTGCGCTAGACGCAGGCCCAGGTCGGGTCACAGTGCCGCCTGCTCCGGCTGCCAACCACGTGCCTCATGCAGACGGGGCAGAGATGTGCTGTGTGGCAGTTTTCACACTGTCGACCCTTTCTAAGGCAGGTTCTGGGCCCAGGACACGGACCCGAGCCTGCCCAGCCCTGAGGAGATGTCAGTACCTCTTGGCTGAAAAGCGGATGATCTTTCTGCGTGCTCAAGAGAAGAGGCTTCCCTCAGGTCTAAGGGTTAAACCTTCCTCTGGGCCAGCTCCAGGGTCCCTAGGCACTGACGCTATGACCTGGAGTGGGGGCCAAGGGGACTCTGAAGGGTGCCCCGATGGGGGCAGTAACATAGAAGACCCCTATCGAGCCTGGAAGGACGAGCCGTGGGGCCAGGACCCTGGTGGGCCTGGAGGGCAGGGCCTGCCTCACGTGGTCCTGAGGCGCCGGCTGGGAGAGCAGCTACCCCCACACAGGCTCTGGGATGAAGACTGAGGCCTGGCCCATGAGGAGGGACCCCCATCGCCCTCTGCCCCAGCTCCCTGTACTGCTGGTTCTGGGGAAGCACCCTGCCTCGCCTGCCAGACTCAGGGCCCAGCTGCCTCTGCAGGCCTTAGCGCCCTCCATCCCCGCCCTCCCCACCCTCCAGACAGCTGGGAGCAACTCCAGGGGGTGCAGCTGTCCTGGTTCCTGGAGGGAAAACCTAGAGCTGTGTTTTCTGTCAGAATCGGTGGCTGATGGCGTGTGGGAGGGGTGGGCAGTCCAGACTCCGCTCGAACCTACCACGTGGGGTGTGGCCGCCCAGCCCCAGCTCTGGCCACGTGGGAGTCTCCAATCTTTCACGCCTTGCCCTCTCCCGCACCCCAGTGGGGCCCAATCCCTGCCTCCTGCACCTGGCCCCTGGCATCTCCCTCTGCACCCCAGCTCCTCCGTATGGAGTCCGGAAAGTCATCCTGGGTTGGGGCAGAAGGTGACTTCCCCCGTGGCCACCGCCTCTGGCTCCTGAGAATCTGACCCTGCATCGCTCCCTCCTCAGGATGTGACCAAGTCACTGCCCAGGGGAGGCCAGCCTGCAGGGCCCACCAGGCTCTCACTTTGGTCCCCTGTCCACGAGCCAGAGCCCCACCAGGCACTGAAACCCACCCCACCTGACCTCAGCCCCAGACTCTCTCAGCTGTGACATCCTGGCATATGCAGGTGTCAGTCCAGCACATCACCACGGGCCCCGTGGGCTCCTCTCGCCACGGCAGGTTTGGTTTGAGGGGGGCTGTGAGGCAGGGGTGGGACCAGCTGGGATGCCAAGGCTGATGGGGTCCCCATTTTGCTCCCAATAAGCTCTACCCGACGCCTAGATTTGGGGAAGGGCGTCCTACCTGGGCGGGGGCCTGCCCTCGAAAGGGCTGTGTGCCAGCAGGGACAGGGCCTCGGTGTCGCCGGCCAGCAGCTTGCCTGCCAGGCGGAGGATCCACTCGTTGTGCTCGTAGGTCTGGGAGGAGAGGGCAGGCTGGGACGCTGTGCTGCGTGCTGTCCAGGCACAGCCCCTCCTGACACTCGGCCATGCCCTCCGCTCCTCCCCCGCCAGCCTCTCCGTCCACCCCACAGCGTGTGGTGCTGAGGCTTTTCCGGAGGTGGGCTCCCTAGGCAGCTGAGCCCCAGTTCTTTGGCTGGGGTCCCTAAGGGCCACCTTGTAGCCCTGACCACTCCTTCCCATGCTGGCCGCTGCCCTCACTGGCCTGTCTCTCCACCCCCTCGAGGCTCAGTGTCCTGGTGGCTAAGACTGGGAGGATGGAAAGAGCTGCTCTGTCTGTGGGTACCTCTGTTGCCCTCAGGCCTGGGGATGCCTTCCTGGTTTCTGAGACAGGGTTTGGCTCTGTCCCCCCCGGCTGGAGTGCAATGGCACCACCCTCTGGGGCTGCATGGTTGGGTTCAGTCACTCCTTCCGCAGCTGAAACCCCCGGCGCCGCCCTCCCCTGCTAGCTAGCTTCTGTTTTCCATAGATACAGGGTCTGTCAACTGTACCCGGTCATGAGGTGCTGCCTGGTGGGGCTGGGCTGTCACGTGAGGCCCCGCCAGAGGCTGGGCCTAGAGGTCGTGTGGGCTCAGCTCTCATCTCAGGCAGGATCCCAGCTCCCCTCAGCCTCCCTCCCCCCAACCCCCTCAGTGGTCGCTCTAGGAACCTGCAATCTGCAGGCAGCGGGTGGGATAAGGCGGGTCCTTGCACCCACCAGGGACTGACCCCCACCTGGAAGGCGGCGAACCACATGAGCCAGTCCAGGCGGTAGTGGTAGGGGGAGATGAGGCAGGGCCGTCTGCTGGGGTCTCCCGGCTTGCACTTGAACTCGTAGTCCTCCCACACAGCGTCAGGGGCACTGGCATTGGGGCTGGCAGTGCCCTGCAGGACCACCTCCGTCCGCTCCTTGGTGATGCTGCCAGGAGACCAGCCGGGCTCAGTAGGAGGCAGGGGGGCTCCCCGAAGGTCCATCCTGGCCCCTGCGGAGGGCCTGCATCCCCCACCTGCCTCCCGGTCAGGGGCTACTGAGTGGCTGCCCTCGAGGAAGCATGGTGGGTGTGGCTCTGCCTGGGAACTCATTCAAGAGCATCTTCCCTGCCCCTGAAGACGCAGCTGGCATGTGCGCCACACCCCTCAGCAGCCCCGGGTGGACACCAGAGGCCAAGGGGCCAGCCCCAGGGCAGGAAGGGCACCTGGATCCCGAGGCACTGCCTGTGTGTAGGTGCCTCCACCCGGCATTCCAGGGCCACAGCCGACCTGCCTGGTGACCTTGGGCACTTGCCTCACAGGACCGGGATGTGAGAGGCCTGCATAGCCCATGCCTGGGTCAGGCTAGGGTGGGGCAGGGGACTCGGGGTCATGGGGGCCCACACCGCAACCCCGCCTGGGTGTGGCTGGTCAGGGCCGAGTCTCCCACTGACCTTCCGAAGGCCCCGTAGGTGTTGACAATGCGCAGAGGGTTGAACGAGGTGTTCATGACCTGCCTGGAGCTCAGCAAGTTGAGGACCACGGGCACACTGAGCCAGGCCAGCAGGACGCCCAGCGAGACGTTGGCTGCACGCCGCACCACCGAGCCTGCGGGGGGAGTTCTTCCAGGTGGGGCTCTCAGCTGCCCCCTGGCCTGTCCCTGGGGAGACCCCAGCTGCTGCTCACTAAGGGCCGGCTGTCCCAGGTCCTGGGGACAGAGCAGCGCCTGATGCCACCGTGCCTGGTTCCACAGCAGATGGCGCTGACTCACCTCCTACTCTGGGACCCGCAACCCACACAGGCAGTCTGTGGGGCCTCGAGGCTGGCATTGCCCAGCTTTCCCATGCCCGTGGGCACTGGGGCAGGACTCCCTCCCTCCCTCCCCCCCACCACTGATGAGGCAAAGCCACCTACCAAATCTGGGCTCAGGCTGGGTGCCTCGGGTTTCCCTCTGCATCCGCAGAACTCGGTCCTTCAGGCTGCCCGGACTGGAGGGGAACAAGAATCCCAGGGCAGCATCATCGAAGCAGGCCAGGCTGGGCACCATGGTCAGCCAGTTCAGGAAGCTGAGGTTCCCACTCACGATGAGCACGGCCTGTGGAGACACCGCCTCTGAGACTCAGGCAACTGGAACCTCGCTTCCTGGAGCTGGCCCTGCACCCAGCTCTGCCCTTGCCACCCCCAGCCCTGGCATCACAACCCAAACCCAGCTGTGCCTTCATGGAGGGGGCAGCAGACGCCGTAGAGTTGCCTTCCGACAGGTGCTTCCAGAAAGTTCTTCCTGTGACTGCACGTTTCTGTGCAGGTTCTGTCCGTTGTTTTAGTGATCCACGCCTGCCAAGGCCGTGCTGGAGGAGGGCTGGCACGGCACCCCAAGGAGGCTGTGCTTGGAGAGCAGGTACCCGGGACGCCCCCCAGCTGATAGGCGACACGGACAACAGGAGCCATGGAGGCCACCGGGAACGCCCCCACGCCAAAATACAAAGTGCAGGGAAGCAAGACATGTGCCACGGAGATGAACAGCAGGGGAGAGGAGGGGCCGTGTGCAGGGCTGGGAGCATGGCCGGGAGAGCTCCAGGGAAAGACGCAGGTGTGAGCAAACCTGTGACAGACAAGGCAAAGCCACACAGCAGGAGGGACACGGAGGGACCCTGCTCTGGACACCCCTGCAGGCCAGTGAGCGATCGCAGGTGGCAGCACTGGAAACTGAGCCGCTGCCAAGCAGCTCCTCGCGGGGGAGGTCACAGGGGCTGCCAGCCTCACCCCGCCGCTGCTGCAGAGGCCTCATGGAGACGGAGGTGGCTTTCGTGGCCTGTCACCCTGCATGGCTGAGGGTCTTCAGCTGAGTTGGGGAACTGGGGTCAGCAAGACCTGGGCATGGCTTCCTGGAATGGCTCTGGTCGCATTCTGTCGTCCAGATTTGATGCGGCAAAGCCCAGCCTTTACCCCCATCACTCAGGAGGACGGCTGAGGGCACAGACACCACATCTCAGGAAGGGTCGGTGCAGGTGGAGCATGTCAGTTTCATGGGTGACGACGGCTTTTATCAACTGAATTCACGGCTCTCCTGGTTCTGAGCCCCAAAATAATTATTTCCTATTCTCCCCTATTTACAACGTTACCAAACCCCTGGGCCAAAAACAGCCCCACCGCACCCAGACTGAGCATGACCAGGGCTGGTCTGGGGCACGGGCGCAGGGACCACTGGAAGGTCCTGCTCTCCATTCTCAGTGACAGAAACCTTGGGCCTCTGCGCCCCTTCCCTGTGGTCAGCCTGACTAGCAGGCAGGACCTAAGCGACGTGGGGCCCAGCCTGAACCAGCGCCCGTTCTGATGCCCAGGCACACCAGAACCATCCAGAGCTTTGAGCTCCGAACTCCTGCCTGCGTAGGTCAGGGTAGGCCTGGCCTGAGTGTATTTCCAAAGCCGCCTTGGGTCATCCTGACATGGGCCCAGTGGGGGACCAGGGCTCCACGGAGCGGAGATCTGAGGGTGACATGTTTCTGAGGAAGCTCTGGGGCTCAGGGACATGGGGCCATGCTCCATATGAGGCGCCCTGGCCGCACCCACTCAGCCTCTCTGGTGCTGCTCTTGCCTTCCATCTGGTCAGCGGTTTTGTTATGAAAACGCAGTTCCGTAGAGTGCACAGCCCTAGTGCTCCCGGGGGACCCCATCTTCCGTGTTTTTCTTCCAGTGTCACTGAGCCATCTCCTCAGAGGGAAATCAATCTCCTCACAACCCTCCCCATCTGTGCTCGCCCCCAGCTGGCGGAGCCCTCGCGAGGAGAGTGCAGCCCACAGATGACCCAGCCGGCACAGGAAGAGGAGCCTGAGTGACGTAATCTTGCGCCCAAGAGACGAGGCAGCAGATGTTTGGGGGCCAATGGAGCGTGGCCCCAAGAAGGAAGAGGGACTCTCTGGATGCAGCTTCCGGCTTCTCAGCTGCCACGGAGAACAGGTGGGCTTGTGGGGACCCTCTGCCGAGGACGTGCCTGTCCCAGGGACCCTCTGCTGAGCACACGCTGTGTTCTCAGGTGGGCACTCTGGTGGGGGCAGGAGTGGCAGGGTGTATAGAGAGAATCTGCCTGAGCTGAGGTCTGAGGCGGGGCCATCGGCGTCCACTGCTCTACAGCCCTGTGCCTGACACACGGGAACGCAGCCAGCCTCGCCAAGGAATCCGACTCCAGCGCGTGCCCCACAGGCAGAGCCAGGGTCCTGACACTCAGGGAGGAGGCCGGACATGAGGCGCACATGGTCAGATGCCGGGGGAATCCAGAGACGAAGCCCCCCAGTGGCTGGTGGGGCCCAGCACGGGGTGTGGGGGTACGGAAACTTCCGGAACCAGGCGGTGGTTGTGGCACACTCTGAACTCACTGATGCCACCGAGTTCACTTCAAAAGTGTGAACTTCCCGTCATCTGTGTTGTTTTATCACAGCTAAAACAGCTCAGGGCCCGGGACAGAGCCTCAGAAAGCTGGCCTGCGTGTGGGGCGGCCGGGGCAGGGAGCCCCTGTGAACAGCAGGCGCCTTGGGGGCTGCAGGCCTGAACTTACCCGCTACTCCTCCCGCCCTGGCGGCCCTGGTGGAGGCTGACGGCTCCCGTGGGGTGCTGGCTGGGCGGCCAGGCTGGTCGGTCACTGCTCACGTGTACCTCTCCAGGCAGGCAGTGGCCCCAGGGCCATGCAGAACCCTCCGGAACAGCTGTGTAAACTGTGCGTGGGAGGAGGGAGGCTGCTCATGTCTCAACCCCACAAAGGAAGGAACACAGGAACACATGGAACCAGAAAGGGCTCCAGGGAGGTGACACTCAGAGGCGGCCCTCGGGGTGCTCGGCTGGCACAGGCGAGGGCACGGCCCCAGGCAGGGGGCTGCAATGTTCACGCAGGTCACTCTCAGCCCCACACCACGTGCCCCAAACACCCCTTGGCCTGTATGCCTGTGGGGGCAAAGGCCCTAGTCCAATGTCCCACCCTGCCTGTGAGGTGCAGGGCACATGGCAGCCGGGACAGCTGGCCGACCGGCCTCTTCTCCTCGGGGGATGCCAGGCCAGGCTGCAGAGTCACAGCCTTGGAGGCTTCCACCTCATTCTGGAGAGGAAGACATGGCCTGATCTCCAAGGCCCAGCTCTGTCCCCTCCCCTCCCTTCGTCCCCACTGTCCACTACCACCCACCCGCCAGGCAGTGGACTCCAAAACTGGACTGGCACTGGGGGGACCCGCAGCCCGGCCAACACGCGTGGTCGGGTCCCTGTCTGCCTGCACTGGGGCCATTAGTCCGGTTCTCGTCCCACCCCCGGGCCACGTTCCTGAATGCTGAGGTACAGGGACGTTTTTGAGGCCTCTGGTTCACAGGTCCCCTTCCATTCCCCATTGGGGTGGCTCAGCCTCCAGCGCCTCGGACATTCCTCCTTTGCTGAAGGAGCTCGGCCCTTGCTTTTCATTAGCGCTCCAGCCGTGTCAGGTTATTTGCAGAGCGGCAATGGTGGAACCGCCCGCCACAGGCTGAGGGAGGGACGGTGCGGGGTGCACGGGCTGTGGCAGCGGGAGGGGGATCCTGAGCACTCCCCGCAGCCAGGCAGCCCCAGAGCCACGCAGACCCACACTCCTTCCTGGGCCGTGTGTCCAGGGGTGCCGTAGAGTGGCCTAGCAACCCGACCCGAGCCCGGCGTGGGCAGCTCTGCGTTCTCCACAGGCAGGGGCAGGTGGGACCCTGAGGCAGCGTAGCTCACATCGGGGGTGTCGGGGAATCCTGGGAGTCTCCAGCCCTGCCCTTCTCCAGCAGCTGGGACCCCAGGACCACATGGCTGAAAACAATTCGGGAGTCACCTGTCCTGAGCTTAGGAATCCTGCAACGGGCCCCTCCCTGGGTGGTAGTGGGACCCAGGCTGGCACAGCCACACCTGCAGGGTCCTGCCCCTGCACTCAAACCTCCTCGAGCCCCGCTCCCCGTGGGAAGCGCGCATGCCCGGGGGCTCTGTCCGTGGCCCTTCTGGGGCTGAATGAAGAAATAAACCGGGTATGTGCACACCATGGGGTGTCCTTCCATGCTGAAGACAAACGAGCAGTGGAGGCCCAGGGAGCCCCCCGGGAGCCCCCCCCCCCAGTGTGGCCACTGAGGGAAGGAAGCCAGCTGAAAAGGCCGCATGCTGCTTCCCGCTCTAGGACATCCAGAAGAGGCAGCACCTCGGAGGACATGGACGGTCACAGGGCCCAGGGGACTTCCAGGGCCATGAGCGACTCCGCATGAAGCGGTGATGGGGACACGCATCGTCATTTGTTTGTGGGATTCCACAGAATGAGGGACGCCACGCGTGGCCTTTCCATCAGCAACCATGTATCAACCCTGCCCATCAACTCTTAACAGTGCCTCAGCCCCTGCAAGTCCCTGGGGACGGGGGAGAGGGTATAAGGGAGCCTCTGTCATCCCCGCACGGTTTTCCTGTAAATCTAAAACTGTGCTAAAATAAGTCTATTAAAACAGAGCCGAAACACTGGAGCGACCGCCACAGGTGGCTTGGGGTGGGCAGAGGACCTCGGGATCATGGTGGCAAAGATGCTGCCCACACTGAGACCTCCGGTAAGTCACCCTGGCCAGTAACCACTGAGGAAACGGACGGTCTTCCTTCTCAGAGGAGGGAAACTAACGATACAAAGACTGTTAGCCAGCCTGGGTCCTCAACTCCCCATGCCCACTCCCGCTTCCCCCCTCCTGCGTACACCACACGCCAGGCGCGCAGCACCAGCCCACGTTCCTCTCTTAAGCAAAGACTCGCTCTCTAGCTGGCCACAGAACCCTGCCCCTTCCCTCTCTTTCACATGCCCACCTTATCTAGGAAAAACGTTTAAAGATTTAATCAAGTCTAGCTGACACTGTGTAGTCCAACCTCAGCCAATAAAAAAGGACAAAAGCAAGACTTACATCAAAAATAAACGTTCACCCTCCTAATAACCGGCCACACAACAAGCACCCTCTGCGCAGAAACAAGCTCACTTTGCTAAATCCTTAAAGTACTAATTTTCCTCACAGTTCCAAGCTCTGGTTCTAACGAAGAACGAAAGGAGGTGGAAGTAGGTCCAAGCATGTCAGTGGGGCTCTA